CCCCCTCCAGGGGTTCAAAAAAAAAAAAAAAAAAAAAAGATAAAATATAATAAGAAAAAGAAAAAGGGAAGAAAAGGGAAAATTTTTCTTTGGCCTCTCCATTTTCACTGTATCACACAAAATCATAGAATGGTTGAAGTTGGAAGGGGCCTCTAGAGGGCATCTAGTGAAATCTAGTGAAACACCCCTGCACAAGCAGGGACACCTGGAGCATGTGCCACAGGGTTGCACTCACGCAGGTTTTGAAGATCTCCAGAGAAGGAGACTCCACAACCTCTCTGGGTAGGCTTCCCACTTCCTGTGTTTTAAATTATACCCATTACCCCTTGCCCTTTTGCAGGTCACCACCGAGAAGAGTTTGGCCCCATCCTCTTTACATTCTCCACTCAGGTATTTGTACATATTGATAAGATCCCCTCTCAATCTTATCTTCTCCAGGCTAAACAGGGCCAGCTCACTTGGTCTTTTCTCATAACATAGATGCACATTTTTGATTTGCACAGGAGGACTTTCCTGGTGAACTACAGACTGAGCATGAGCCAGCAATGTACCTTTGTGGCAGAGAGGGGATCTTAGCAGTGTGCCCAAATACCCGCAGGGAGGCTGTTAGGAAAGTCGGGCCAGACTCTTTTCAGTGGTGGCCAGTAATATAGTAAGGAGCAACGGTCACAAACAGAAGCACAGGAAGTTCTGCCTGAATTAGAGGAAAAGCCTCTTGAGTGTAAGGGTGACAGAGCACCTGCATAGATCTCCCAGAGAGGTTGTAGAGTCTCGTTCCCTGGAGATATTCCAAACCAACCTGAAGGTGATCATGTGCAACATGGTCTGTGTGACTCTGTTTGTGCAGGGGGGTTGGGCTAGATCTCCAGAGGTGCCTTCCAATCTCAAGCATTCTGGGATTCTGTGAGATCTCCTCAGGTCTCTGCTTCCCTTGTCAATTCTTTAAGGACTGCAGTGGGGTGGCAGGTGCAAGACAGAGCTGGGCAGTGAGGTCAATAGGTCAGAATGCGAGAGGTGCAGGGCCAGGCTCTACCATGTCCAGGACATGACCAGGCCAAGGCAAAAGGCAGCAGCTCCCTCCCAAGGAAGATGAGGCCAAGCAATGGGGCTGATCACTCTCTGTCTCCCCTGCTCTGTGCACAGCAGATCCCCTCCCTGGCTGCCTGCAGCCCCTCCAAGCCCACGCCACTGCCCAGCACAGCACAGGACTCCTGCATAGCCTGCGGCAGCTCCTGCCCTGAGCTGGGGCACACAGAAACCTGGCTCTCCTTTGCATTTTCTTTCTCTGCATGCTGCCCTGCCTCTGTCCTGGGACATCTCTGCTCCCCACAGGGCCTTTCCCCACACCAATATCTCCATTGCTGCATGCGCTGCTCCTGCACCCTGCCCTGTGTTGTACATGGGGACCCAGATTGTTGGTGCTGCTTTGCAAAGGGACCAGCTGTGAGGCCATGTCCAAGCTGGTCAAAGAGAGAAGCAGAGCCAGTTGAACAGGGATCCCCTCCACTGCTACTGCTGGAACTTGTCTGTGCTCATGGACAGTGCTCAGAGTGAGTCCAGGGAGTTTGCAATGGCAGGAGATGTGTTTGGGCGGGCACTAGCTCCTGCCTCCAGTGTTTCACAGTGGACACAGGGATGACCCTGCAGTGCCCCTTCCCTAGGGCCTCCAGTACCTCTCCTACATTTGCAGAGCCCTTTTTTTCCCCAGGTGTGCCTGGAGCAAAAATTCTGCCTTTTGGTTACTCCTTGGTGGAGCATCCCTCTTTTTGTGGGGCTCCACTCACTGCCCTCACCTGGGCTGTGGAGGTCTCCTGAGCTTTTCTGGGGATCTCCCGGAGATTCCCCTCCAGAAGGATGGAGGACAACTCCCATCAACACTGTCACCTGTGGCACAGCCTAGTGCAGGTGATTCAGAAACCATTTCCCGTCTGCATTGGCACTGGTCACTGAGAGATGAGCTCTGAGTGCTGTCCTCAGTCCCTAGTCTCCTAGATGAGAGATGAGAGTCTCCTAGTCACATAGATGAAACAGCCTCGGAACTCGTCCCCAGGATCCCACGGAGTTCACAAGGAGAACACCAAGACCCTTTTCTGTGCAATTGTTGGAGATGACTTTTTGAAGAAAGACTATATTTGAGGCAAATCACAGGCAGATGCTCTTTTATTAGAGGAAAAGTGATTGTGGAGGCCAGGTTTGGCATGAGGGTGCCCAGGACCTGGTCCTGCCAGACAGCACAGAAATGCACTGGGAAGCACCATGTTACAAGAGCATTTAGGGCAAATAGACCCGAGAGAGCACAGCAGGACAGTGTGGAAATGAGGAGAAGAGCCTTGAAAAGAGAAAGTGCTGCTGCTGTTGGTGGACATGTTGCCAGGAAAGCTGCATCCCTCATTGAAGGGGACAGCAAGGAAATGCCTGCTGTGGCAGTATGCGCAGGGATGGCCCTGAGCAGCAGAGCTCTGTCCCCACACGCTGCATCTCCTCCCCTCCACTCATGCCCCACTTGGAGTGTTGGAGCAGTGTAGAGGGAAGGGACCAGTGTACAGCGACACGTGGCTATCACTCCCATGCCAGAGCAGGTAAAATCACCCCCTGACTGTGTCTAGGGGAGCTGAGTTCTCCTAATGGACACGGGAGCTGTGGTCTCACCCTGTCTGTACTCGTGTGAGCCTGACTCTGTGGCCCAGAGCTCCCCTGGAGTCAGTGCTGGAAGAGACACTGCACAGGGAAACTCTCCTCACTACATGGGGGGATCTGAGGTTGCTCAGAGCAGTGGGTTCTGAGTTTCCCCTCTCTTTGCTGTTTGCTGGTAAAGAGAAAAGCCCGGTGTTCTGCTCCTACAAGGTCCCTTTAGGAGATTGAAATTAGAGATTCCTGCAGAAGAAGCTATGAACCAGTTTGAATTTTTGTTTGTTTGTTTGTTTGTTTTTTCCTTTAAAGGAGTGTAGAAGAGCAAAAGCAAGAAAGAAATAAATGAATAACACATAGAAATAAATGAATAACACATATCCTCAATGCGAAATCCCCTGGGACAGGTATTGTTGCTGGCATTAGAGCAATGGTATGAGCTTCCTCAGGGCATTCTTGAGCCCCTCA